AGTTTTAAAGCCGTGCACTGGCAGTCTAAGAGAAAGTTCACCGACACCCGGCGTTATCCATGGGTCGCGCGGCGCCGGCCGCGCAGCTAACACCTGGTGTCGGCCAACTGGTGGGCGAAAATGGCCATCTATCAACAACTTGGGACACTTCATGAAATCGAATCGAATGCCTGTAGAAGGTATCACGGGTCTAGATTTCACCCGTGCGAATTTGATGTTGATACTCGCAACGCACTAGCATGTAAGGCACCACAAACTTCTATTGCTCTTGTTACCCCAACCGCTAATTTTGTTCAGAAAATCAACCTTGAAAATACACAGGGGGAATTTCCTGGTCAGAAACTAAACGGCATTTCCGTATCACCCTGGGGTCTCTAACGGCTGCCATCCTAGAGATTTGGGGACCGCGTCCTCCTGGTAAATGTGGAGGTCCTCAAAGGAATACCTTACACACCTCTCCGGTCCATTCCCGCATGCGGCAGGCCCTTTAACCGTGACATCTGGCACAGGATCAAGGCAGGGGCTCTCACCGACGCAAAAAGATCCTTTGCCGGTGCAGGGGGTCTAAAAATTGGGACCGAGACGTCAATTCGACTTGCCAGCATCCGAGCGACACGATGCGGAGGGCCTCTCGTTTGGTGCAGGGCCTCTGACTGGCAAAGGACCTTTCCACTGTGGTATTGTGAATGTGAACCCTAGCGTTGCCATATCTCATGCATCCTCCCATTGTTAGGAGGTCCTCATCAACGCAAGGGGCCCTTTGATATTCAGAGTTCAGTAGCTGTTCCCGTTCATCAAGTGTGTGACCTGGCCACCTTGAGGCCCATTGACGACACAAAGCCCTCTGTGAGGCACTGTGGCAGGCCCTGATCAAAACTGTGGGCCCCTTCACCGTGTCAGCGACCCTGACCAATGCAGGAGGTCTTCTGGTTGACATTTTCAGGCCCCGCCTTGTCCCTGCTTGCTTGGGTAACTCCCCCCCCCCCCCCCGGGCCTTGAACTGGCAAGGAACTGACTGTTCGGTATTGGTGGGTTCAGTCATCTGACTGGCATAGAGCCCTCACTGTCCCAGGGCCCCCGACTGTGGCGAAAGGCCCTCTGAATGGCATTTAAGGACCCGGTCTTCTGGCTGAGCTTTGATTAAGTGCTTCTTCAAAATAGAGGTTATAGTGTCCCGAAAGGAAGGTATTGGTGCCCTCGCCCAAGCAGCCGATCCAGGAATGCGTCGGAGTGGGAATCGGAACATTGTTGTACTCCTGATATTTGAGGCGCCCTGATAATTAAGATTCGGAGCTCTCTGTGTTGCTCCCTGGAGTAAGGCGTCTCTGGGAAATAAAGGTCACGATGCGTGTCCCGGAAATTAAGGTCGTTAGTACCTCTGCATCGACCGGGCACATCCGGAATTGTGTCAGGATGAAGGACAGGGAAGCGGTGGTGCTCCCCGAATTTGGTGCCTCTTAGAAACGAAATGGAACCATTTGTAGTGCTCCTGGAATTTGGGGCTTCTTGAGAATAAAGGCCATGAGGATAGAAATAACGATTTTGGTGCCCATTCGCCACGAACTTTTGGTGACCTTGACCCAATGGGAGGGATTCGACCCGATGGGAGGGAGGGAAGGGGGGGGGGGGTTGGTTGGCCCCATGCCCCTCCCTTGGATTTGCCACTGGCCCTAGCAAAAATAGCACGCATCGATGCATCTGGGCCCACGGCTACTTTTGGCTTGAAAACCGGCAGCAGTGTAGGCAGCACTGCAAGACACGCCTGCTGTGCGGACAGCCGCAGACCGGGCTCTGATTTAGACCTCGGAGGCTTAAAGGGAATGTTTCACATTTGAAGATCTTGAAGCAAGTATCAAATATGATGAAACAAGCTTACTTATAAACATAGGCATCATTTTTAAGTGGAAAAGACTGCTCTAGACGACAGGACAATGCCCTGTTTAGGAAATATGCTACTCGATGCGTCATGGTTTGATTGCGTCACTGTACCTTGAACGACATTGATTGAGAGCCGACTGACGACCGTTATGTCTGGAAATCGTGCTCACGAACGCCAGGTATGAGCGCCTCGACAATTATATCTTCTTTGCCTTAATCGCCAAGTGGCTTACGGAATGTCAGGATTTGAATGACTTTATTATGACTTGGTAAATGCCAAGGTGACTTTGAAATATCTCCCCGGAAAAACTCTCCCCATTTTCGTGTGCGTGTAACTCATTAACTAGAACGTCTGAGGTCCTGGAAAGGGCAGAGCTGCGAACAGCACCGAAAGGTCTTCTAGATGGCTATTTCAGGCCAAAATTCCATATCAACGTGGAACTCTCCGTTTCACATGATTGTCTTTCATACACGGTTCCTGAGACATCACCCGTTATCTTAAGTGAACCTTTGGCTCAGGGGAATCTCATTAAAATACGTATCTAAGGAGGATTTCACGTAGATAAACCGCTATATTTCTGTGTTTACGTATTTATGAACTCTCCGTGTTTACTTCATTTGTTTACGAAAGCCACTCCACGCTAATGAAGCTTTCTTTCTGCCCTCAGCCGCCCTCTCCTCATCCCGTAAGCATGCTTGGCTATTGGTGAGAGAGTAAAAGAAATCATCAAAAATCATGTGGCGACAAGCTGACACGGTGCTATCAATGACGCCAGTTCTCAGCATGGGCACAGCCAGGATTTGCGTCGGGGGACTACCAGAATTTGCGACGGAGGAAGGCTAATCTTTTTCAGGACCGGGGCCCAGCCCTATTTATAGCAGTTATAAATTGCAAAAAGAGCGGGAAGTAACGAACGTTAACAAGCACAGGACCTGCCATGTGAACGGGCTGCAAATGTCGCTTCGCCCTGACGGCAAAAGCAATTGTCTCAGCTTTAAAAAACATCCAGATAACCGAGTGACCAGATTGACCAGATTGACCAGGTGATTAACCAGGTGACCAGATTACCGAGTTACACACAACAGTATCGTGGTAAGAAAGCTTTATTCGATCCTGACAGGAGGAGGGAGGGGGGGGGGGGGGGGGGTGAGGGGGCAGCGCCTTCAGTTTTCAGAGACGTCTGTACCATGTGTTGGTCTTTTTGCCATTCGACAACCTGGCGTCAGATAGACAGACGCATGGTCGGAAAGTCACAATGCCACCATAAATCCAGCTAAATATAATGATCTCCGACACCACTGATGTCAACGTGCTTTTCGCCATTCAGCATGCTGACCGCCTCTCCGACCCACGCTGGGAAATCTCGATCCAATGGGAGGACGAGCGCTGGCGAATATATTCCTCCCTGGCGAGTGCTTCAACTCCTCAGCTCGACAAGCGACCTTTAACGTGACGGGCTAATTAGAAGGATCTCCGATAACGGCGGGGCACAGCCGGTCGCTGTCGGAGTGAGCCCGGCAGCCTCCGCAAAAGAGCGGGAGGCGGTCTGCGTGCCGTCAGTCTTCGCCGCAGCGGCCGGTCTGCCGCAGGTCAGGTCAGGTCAGATCAGGTCAGGTCAGATCAGGTCAAGGCTGAGCCGGTCGGCCGGACAGCGTAAGCCGCGCAGCCCGAGCTGACGGCGCGGTCGGTGGCTGGCGGCTTCGATCGTCGATAATTGGCGGCCGCTCGGCAGCCCCCCCCCTCCCAAGAGCGGCTCTCAGGAGCGGTGGCTCTCAAATCCACAGGTAGCTCCGCAGGCGCGTGCCTGGCCCACTGGTTTCGCCAAGAGAAGCGGCATTTTTACATGCAATCGGAACACACTTTTTTATTAAGATGCACGGAATGGAAAAGCGAATGCGGCCCGAAAGAAAGGGTTCGGTTCAGCACCACCTCGATGCCGCGCCTTTAAACAGACCTTTGGGCGCGGTGGCATTTTCCGGGGCGCGGCCTCATGCCATCGGAGCAGTCCTCTATCGCACCGAACCCATGGTGTAAGAAAAGCCCTCGTGTGGGCACATGTGCTACATGGGGAGCCCGACAGCAAGCGTGCGGCGTGAAGACTGTCCCGTAAGGATATCGAAACACGGAAACCTCTGCCATGCACATGGCGTGTGCGTGTGTGTGTGTGTGTGTGACTACCGGCGTGGTTGCGAGGAACTAACAAGAATACCCTGGTGGGGCACACAAAACAACAAAAAAAACTCAGCATTGGCTGCGATACTCGGAATACCAACCGTGCGGCTTTAATGACAGTGCCAGGAGCATTCGCCAGGTTCAGATCTGCAGAAAGTTGCCGGTAATTCGTGCTGGAATGTGCTTTGTAGTGGTAGATGCTGGAAATAACTAGACATCAACCATAAACTCGGCTTTCCTTCGTTCAGCCGTAAAATCGAAACCTGCTATTGCATGAGAATTCCCTGGTAAAACAAGGAAAAATATGAGAAATGACAGGTGGGGAATAAAACTAGAAGCCATCAGGTCTCGCCCCAGTTGGAAATAAATGCTGCGTTTAGACAAGCACAATATGGCGTCGCAGCTGAAATGTAGGAGAACGGATTTTCAAGCTCGGAGAATAAATGACTCCAGCCAACAAATGCACGTACACAGTTCACCGATGACCTAGTTATCTTTTGTTGTTCGTTTCGGCTGCCCTTCCGTTTTCTTCCTTTGGAAAGATAAACGGTTGGTTGTAAATGAATTATGTAACAAAATATGTATAGCGTCTGCAACGCACCAATTCCCGGCAGCGTCAAAGTCCCTGCGTTGTAGGCCCACGTGAGCATTATGTTGAGCACTGATTCACTTAGCACCAGAAGTCGGTACCGCTGCGCCGAAAGGTCTTGCGTTTCTTACAAGAATGCTGCTTGCCTGCCTTTTGGTTCTGTACGAATCCTAACCATAAAGTAATTGATTGTAAGTACACCGTTTAACCATTCTTACCATTTAGCCGTCAGCAGGATGATTAATCGGCAAGATAACTGATTGCTTACCACCACCAACCATCATTCCTTACCATTATTGAGCAATCAAGTGGCGGCGGGCAGCGCCTGCGGCTGGTGTTCAGTGGCTGCACACAACCCACCTGCTGGCGGGTGTGCTGTGCCGCCGTCGACGCTAGCCGCTCGCAGTGGTCGGCTCCGACGAAGAAGGCGTCAGCGTTCAGCGTCAGGTACTTGCCGTCGCCGCAGCCTGTCAGCGAGACGAGTTAGGGCTAGCGCAACGGAGGCCGCGGCTTCCTGGCAGCGTTGGCGGGAGACGAGCAGCGTGTGGGGGAGGGGGACAGGAAAGCCCGAGCGATAGCACGAGCTAGCACGCGTTGCGAGTCGAAATGGAGCCTGAATATTTTAAATGTTTGCAAGGTCGCCGCAAAAATGCCAGAGAGGCTATGTCGTGGCGCAGCTGGAGCTCCACAGCCTGAAACTCCACCCAGATAGTTGCTCACCGAAGTGAGATGTTCAACGCGCTAGGGCAAGCTGTGCTTTCATCCTCGTCTGTGGCTATAACGTCGAGATGAGCACGCGTGATATGCATGCAATCCCTTCCCATACTTGCAACGAGACCTTCGCAGGGATACACCAGGGATAAATTTAGAAGCAGCTGGCTAACACACTGAATATATAACTATAAATCTCATACGTTGTGTCTCAGGCAACTCCGCTGAACTTGGAAGGCCCTGTCGACGATTGGCGGCGGATGATTCTTATTAGCGACCATTTGCCATGCAAACGTTATCTTGTACAACCCATAGCCAGCAAACAGGAAACACAAGATGTAGAAGACGGTCTTATCAGCCCACGTCACCTGACAATCCAGCACACGGGGTCTTATTTCGTGCCACACAACCAACGGCAGCGCCACGGTGGGAAGGAGGACAGGGGGTGAGGGGCGCGTCCTCCCTCCATTATCGGATAGGAGGGACAGTCCCCCTGTCACAACAACCTTCTTGCAGGAAAAAATCCATTCTTCGCACAGACTTTCACCAACGGCCTCCTGTTCCCAATGCTTACCATAATGAAGTTCCCACACATCGGAAGGATTACATTGCTACAAGTACTACTGCGATGCCATTAGGACTAAAAAAAAATCGTTCGGTGATATTTCCCTGTCCTGGCTGAGCACATTCGATGCCCTCCATGCCTCGAGTTTGAAGCGGGTTGGGAGGCGCTTGGAGCACCATGTGCCACAATGCAACACCCTTAATTCCCCAGGCGCGGCTACTATTTTCCTACGATCTCACCAACGACCACTACGTGTCATCTCCATTTCCAGCGTTGTTTTTTTGCGTCGTACGTCGTACGTCGTACTTTTGCAGTAGTTTTAGAACACAAAAAGTTACCGCACTGCAGGTTGGCCCATGTTTTTCATGTTTATTGCGCACTGAAACATTTTGTATGTAAGTGCCTTACATGAAAGCGTCTTTCCATCGTATTTTCTTCGCCCTTTAACGCATTGAAACAGCAACTGATCAACAATTTTGGTGATCGATTTCCGTTAAAGGCATGCTGAATTGCAATGTTGTCATGTCTTCAAAAAGCGTCGTCCCAGCAGTTTTGGTTTGTTCAAGTTTCGACTTGATATCAAGACAGGGTTAGAGCCTGACTTGGAATGGGTGACAGAAGTTCGTCCCCGTCAAGCCTCCCGGGGCACAGCAAGAAAGAACGGCGTAGCGGGGCGTCAAACAATTTTGAGTACGCGTTTATGTATCCGTTTTGTTCCCGGGAAAATTTCAAAGTTGCAAGCCAGTCACCGCACTGACCGAAATAAGTCTGGGGTAAAAGTCCGAAAATGTGGAACTCCAAAGCTGGTTCAGACATGGACAGATGTCGTGAACATTGGCATAAGTGCCCTGTTATGAGTAGATATAAGTATTTACTGGCTGGATTGGATCTTTCAGGTGGATGGTCGTACCAACTGAAACTAATTTAAGAACATTGTCCCGAGGGGCTTAGCCCCTGTCTTCTGGATTTTTAGATCATGGTCAATAAAATACATCCACTTCTTCTCAATATGAGAGCATAGCCCCTGAGCTAAAAGGTGTACACTATGCACTTAGTGATTTTGCGGGAATTCGATCCTAATTCACAGGATTTCAGAGAAAATTAAATGCCTGGTAACCGTGAAAACTATTTTGATACTGTCTGAGCAGAAAGTATTCAAAATTTCGCAGGCGTAGCATGGTTTTTTCACGGTGCGCTAGAAAACCTTCCACGGGTCACATATATTCCCTACGCTTCAGGCACGGGTTTTAACCCGTGCTTTTCATGAAAGTTTACACCCTCTTAACATGCACCCGCCCAGGGGAACTCAACTTCCCGCTGGGATCTCCGACTTCTAGACGCCGTATAAGAAAGACAAGCATATCGTTATAGAGTTCTTGTAAAATCATGAAGAATGCACACCTGGTTTTTTTTACCTCAGATCAAATGTAAGGTCGCCAGAGGCCACGAAAGGCCAAAAATGTTCGTTCTGATAGATGCGGTTAAATTCTATGTTAACACGCTAAGACGGATTTTAATGGCACGGATATAAGCTTAAGAATGTGAGTAATCAACTCTGGCCATTTTCTGCCCTTCACTAGGGTCAGGTTAGATCAGACCACTGTTCAAAATTGGTCTACCAGTAGGCTACAATAACGATATTTTTCACAGTATGGTTTGGACTAAGTTTATGTTGTTAGATACAGCTGTGGGACAAAATAATTCTAGACATAAAAATATTATTTTAGGCTGACCTAGAAGTCATCTGACGTCTAGTTAGGTCCCATTTATAATCCATCCAAATGAAAACATTGAAGTGCTAACCGGGTCTATGCGACCAGTGCAACGCTTTTATGTGGTCAGAAATAATGAATTGTACATCTTGAGATACTCAAGATCGCATAGCTGCTGTTTACATTATGTGTCGTCAGTTCGTCGCTTGTCAATGCATCTGTAATAAACTGAGAATAGGTACAGTGGTGCATAAAACTATATGTCGTCAGCTTCACAAACACGATAAGAAGGTGGTTAAACGTGTCGCACTCGTTCATCTAGCCTCTCCAAAACTGGTCACATAGGTTATTAACATGGGATGACCTCATATGACTTTACATCACGTGGCCTATTATGACCCCATTAAGCATTATAATACAATTTCAACGTGCTTTCAGTGGAATATTCAAATTCTGCCTCCACCAGTACCTCCTAAAACTGCATATTGTGATCTCAGCATGTGTTTTGCAGAAGATACCCGTGGAGGTAGGTCGTGACCTGGCCCAAGCCCATGTGCTCTGCGGTCATATAATGGCTGTGCGTGTGAATTGAAACTCTTTACATTTATAAACACCAAAACTACATAGAAATACGCAAAATTTGCATTGCTTACATGAATAGTAAAAATTGACTTGACTTCAGTCACCGACTTCGCTTTTTCAAAAAAATCTGAAATATGAAAACTGCAAGTACTATAAGTTTGCATTGCAATATCATGCTTGAACAGGGGCAAATAACCCACGAAAACTTATATTGGTTAGTTTTTCAGGGCTGGACCTCTTTGATCTGACATAAGTTACTGATCTTGGTAAATCACAACTTCAGATTTGCACAAATGATGCCAACTTGATAGATCAACTGGCACTGCAAATTTTGTGCTGTTGCAATCGTTCATTTTGGCCTGTGCTCGAAAAACCGTAGGGGAAAAGTCAACTCCCACGCCTGGGTGTCGGTTAACAATTTAATCCTAACCTTTTTGAATGGATCAATTTATTTCTGGGCTCCGAGCTCACTCTAAGCAGTGATTGTTATCTAAGCCCTGACCCCTGCCACCACATGGCCCAATTTCAGGTTAACGGCACAATTTAATATTGAAAGGTTAACATGCCGCAAGGCACGGTCCGTCCTGTCCTCTGACGTCACCTGACCTTCAGCGGAGTCGCTGCCACCGACCGCGGACCATACCTGTCGAAGACAAATAGCGAGCGCTTAAAGCGACTAGAACTTACCCCGCCATAGGTGGTTGGATCGAAAGACAGGTACTCTATCCAACTGAGCAATCGGGATGGACTGGTGCTTTGTTTGACTCCATTACGTTGTAATGTGTTTTGTTTTAACTCTATTACGTTGTAACATGCTACTCATGTGGCCTGAAGCGACACTATTTCATTTATTTCTTCATTCTTTTCAACCTCGGTAAGATTGTATTTTTGTTGACTGTTTGCGTAGAACATGGGTATGCCCGACCCGGACCTCTCCGGTGGCGAACAGAGGCGACCAGCGGCGGCGCCACCGGAGGGGCGAAGTGGCAACTGCCCAGCTGCCATTTACCACGCGGTGCCCCCCCCCCCCCCAAGTTTGTTCTCCACAAGGTGAGACACAACGTGCGAGAAACCATCCCTGAAGTCGTCAAACTTGATCGTGTGCCAATGGCCCTACCCGCCGGCTCAGCCACAGCTGAATGCAGTTTCAGCGCATAAGAGACAGTAAACTTGCTTCGCTTATAGGAAGTGTTCCATATTTGTATATGGGGCCTTGCACTGAGACATCCATTTTGAAGATAATTTGGTGCAGTTCACAGGCCTGCCTTTTTAAAGACTATTTTAAAGGTCACCCAGGCATACATGATGTCATAGAAACGTCACACGAATACTGGCATCTGAGAACGATACTTTTGATAACCTTGTCAGTATATTTAGACAGGAACCTCTTTGCGGGGTGTCCGCTTGGCGCCCGGACGGGGCCCCCACTGGGAGACCTCTCGGCTCACGCGGAGCTGGCGCGTGCGGCGTACCTCGGGCAAGAAAGGCGTCACATTGTTTCAGGACAAAACTGGAACGAAGATAAAAGGGCGGATGTTCGAACACAAAGTATGCTTTGTGCCACATGATACAGGAAGTTGAACAACGATGCGACTTCCGACGGAAGTAAGATTAGGAACATAATTATTTAACGCACATTCAGGTGGAGAATATTTGCGTTCTGCACACAGCGCACCGATTAGCTCGACACTTCTCGACAAAATGAAGTACTACAAGTGAGTTAGCCCGTCCGCTGCGATGGTAAGTTTGCACAGCCGGTTAAGGGGTTACGCTGACGTCGCGCAAACGTTCTATGACGCAGTCAAATGATGACGTATTGAGGAGCATATTTAGTAATAATGATATTGTGTTGTCTGTAGCAGTCCTTTGCACATGCATACCAGTAGTTGCAGGTGAG